GATATGCAGTAGTCGTGAAATATATTTTTCATATCACAAGGGTGAAACTCCATCCATAGTAACGTAGCTATATATACATCAACAAAATCTGGTATAATCAATAACAAAAAATATATATATCGCCAGCCAACCTCGACTTCGTCGCCTCCTCCTACTACCAAGCGCTCTCGATCTTGTTTCCTTCTTTCCTCCCATTCAAGACGTCTTATTTCTCTCAAGTTGTTGCGTTGTCTTGCCAATTTAGCTTCAACTCTTTGGGCACATTCCTCTTGACCTGAGCCCAACAATTACCGCGCGCCACGAAATTACCGCCTCCACTTACGTTGAGTTGCATCCCTCTTCCTATCACTTTCTAACCTCTGCTTCGCACTGCCGAGGTAACCGAGAAGGTTACCAAACATCCTCCTATTCCTTTTCATGCTCTCGCGTATCTGAAAAATATCACACCAAAAACTCGATGATCAATTTTCCGATTAAAAAAACCAAACGATCAAAACCACGCACAGTTCACTTCACAATTTCACTAAAAAACTTCACCACAAATTCCAAACTTTTTCACACCCCGAATTCACAATATAATGTCCTTCAAAAATCTATTCGGCGGTTGAGACCATCAGTTCAGCTCGTCAATTCAAAACGAGTATTAATACCTGTGGGCTAGCCTCCGAGAACCCTCCGAGTTCGCTCTTTATAAATCTCGCTTTCGCCTCCTTCTCTCGCTGCTCCTCCGTTAGCTCCTCAGATTGCCGAGGTTGCGATTCTCTCCCAACCCGACCATCTGATCACACCAAAAACCATCACGCAGCACGAAATTTCATTAACCCCACCAGCTATAGCGGCTTCTCCCGAATCTCCTCCTCCTCCTCCCTCATCGTCTTGATCATAGTCTACGATTCCTCCCACCTCATTCGAGTCCACCGGCGGTGGTTTCGTCTCAGCCAGCCTTTCTTGAATGCGAGCACTGACCACCGCAAAAATGCCCGCCCTGGGGTTCGAACCCGAGACCTCTCGCTTACTGCTCTTCCATCAGTTTGTCCATCTCCTTACTCAAAGTATGTTCATCGCCTTTCCCTCCTTCCTTCCCTTTAACCGGCGACCTCGATGACAAGGCGTCCTTATGAACCCGAGCCGTCGCTGTAGTTGACATCACTTCTATAAGGAGATTCTCCTCGAAAATATAAACAACAGCAACCGATGATGCTAACAGATATTGGAAATCGTCAGCAGTGTCGGAAA